AATTTGCAACGAAATTGCGTTGCAAATCCAATTAGCAACGAAATCGCGTTGCAAGTTTAAAATATATTTGTGGCTACGATGAATTACGGTTTTCACGCCTTTTGCAATGCAATTGCGTTGCAAGTTTGCAACGAAATTGCATTGCAAACGTTTTGTATATATTGATGCGAATTTCTTTTACAAACACTTCCAAACACAATCTAACAATCACTTCTCCCTCTAAAAATCTTCTAAAATCTTTCTTTATCCCAAATCTTAAAAATTCTTTTAAAATTATATAAATATTTTTTTTTTATTTTTTTATTTTATATTTATAATAATTAATATTATTTTTTTAATTATTTATTCTTATAAATTTTAATTTACAATTCATTAAAAAATCTAAAATGCTACAAATTTTGTATTGTTTTTATATTTATTTAATATTTATATTTATTTATTACTTTTTCATAATTATTTATTTATAATTTTTAAAATTCATAATTTTAACATTTGTTTTTTTAATTTTTATATTATTTTTAGCAACGAAATTGCGTTGCAAAAATAGCAACGAAATTGCGTTGCTAAATTAGCAACAAATATTTTTCCGTTTTGTGTTGCAAATATTAATAACGCTTTGCAACGAAAATATTGCGTTGCAATTAGCAACGAAAATATTTCGTTGTAAAGCGTTGCAATTTGCAACGCTTTGCAACTCTATATTATTTTGCAATGACGAGTTTGCAACAAAAATAATTTCGTTGCAAACTGTAATTTGCAACGAAATTTGACTGGTTTCAACGAAAAAATTGCGTTGCTAAATCTTTGTTTTTTTGTAGTGAGAGAAATACCGTGAATGATAGTTTGAGTATTTAGAAAAAAAAAAACACTTGCATATATGACATGAGTTTCATTTTTCCCCACATCCATGGAAAAATACTTGCATGAGTTTCATTTTATTCTATAAGTATAGAAAAACATTTGTATGAGTTTCTTTTTCCCTTACATATATGGAAAAACACTTGAATGTGTTTCGTTTTTCCCTACGGTGTCTGTTTCACAGTTATCTTAGTATTCCCAGAATTGCCTTGGAGTTTTACGATATGGGATGTGATCTGTGAAACTCTCATCTCTTGAAGTTTAGGGTTTAGTGATAAACCAAGAAGGTTTTACTGACGGTTGCAGGGAAAGTACGAAAGATCGTAGGTCATATACCGTAGACCGCAAATCATCTGCCACAGTTTCTATTATAGACATTTCATCAAACACCTTATTTGTAAAAAAAATGATTATAATACCAGAAAAAAAAAGAAATCGGCCAGAAGAATATTTGAATAAGTGAGATAAACTGTAAAAAACAGATAAAATAGAGAAAATATTGGAGAAAACAAAAGAACAAATATCAAAACGTATCGATTTTTAAAAGATAGATTATCACATAATAATAAAGAAATAACGCTAATGATAGTTTGAATATTTAGAAAAAAAAGTATAGTATGAAAAAATTATTTTTGTGTAAAATATTTTGTAAATTTTATATTTGTTTGGCTACATTTTGACAACTGATCCTATTTTTAATTCCAAAAGTGATAAAAAAACACTTCAAAGTAAAAAAAAACATTTAAATCAACGGTTAGGATTTGATTAAACAATTGTTGCATGTCGACTTATAATTGGCTGTTATTTGCATCACTGGCCCACGGTACAACCACTCTTCTCTAGCCCTCTGTCTAATAAAGCGGATTCGGTTGTGGTGCATTTCAGCTTCGGGTCCGAACCTTGGTCTTGATCCTGCGCTGCTTTCGTTGAAAATTTTGGCAGTGCTTCGATCTCTCTCTCTCTCTCCCTCCCTATCTCTCTCTCTTTCTCTCTCTCCCTTCTCGCTTACCGTTTTCGTTAATTCTTCGATTCGAAAAACCCTAACGCGTTTACCAGATATTGGGGTTGCAGAAGAATCCATTTCGGTTGTGCGAGTCGACTTGACGGAAGTGTAAGCTCATAGCTTATCTTTATCTTTCCGAAAACCCTAATTTTTCTCGGATGTAGTTGGAATAAACGATGCATACCGAATCAGTCGTGTGTGTCGGGTGTGTCTCGGTCGGATTAAGGCTTGGCAGCTTTCCTCCGAGGTCGAATTCTTCGATTTCATCGTGTTTTTGTTAGCCCCGGGGTTTCGATTTGGATGAAATTACACTGCGGCAATTTCGATCTCGTGTGGGTTGTGTAGGTTTCTGCGAAATCCTGAAAATTTCGGCAGCTTTACACTTTCTGTTGCGATAGAAGGTTATAGCTGTGAAATGGGAGTTTTGGTTGTTTGCTTTAAAGAAATTTGGTACATTAACTGCAAACAAGCTCTTGGGTTTACTGGATTTGCTGTGTTTCGAGTTGTTTATAGTTTCATAGGCTTAATTGAGCTCAGGAACTGAGTTTGCAAGTCGCTAGTAATTCTAGAAAGTTAGAAACAGTTGGTCGCCTTCTTCAAATTCCTTGACTTCGGATAGTTTAGATTATTAAGTTAAGCAGGATAGGAAAGAACCTATCAGCCTGAACATAAGGCTCTTCCAACCCGGTTGAGAAATTTGTCAACAGGATGGGTCCGAAGGCGCTGGCGAAAGCTAGGCTATTATATTTCTTGGAAGTTGCTAAGAACTATGTGAAGCTATATATATGTTAGCCATTCCTTTTCTATGCAGTTTTCTAGTCTCTTTGGCTGCTATTCAGGATTTTCATCTTATGACTATATTCTTCCGATGTTTGTAGGACATATTCAACTTGCTTCCTAACCTGAATGTGAACGAGTTGGTTAAAGCTTTTGCAAGTGAGCTTCTGCCTTCAAAATGCTTAAGCATATCTTTTCTTATGATTTCTTTTAAACGGGTTCTCTTCATAATCTTCATTATTCGCAGTGAAAACGAACGACATGATGTTGGTTAACTACCTTTATTCACTCATCTAAAGTGTAATTGCGCTCCACATTTTGATCAATAACAAGGTTAGACGAGTGACTAAACATTATATTTTTTTGTTCTGATTGCAATGTATGAGAAGGTACAAGCCACAACAGCAAATCTATAATATAAACGCTACTCTTCACAAACCTGTTTCTGGTGGGCATACCTTCTCTCGTGGATACTCTTCTAAAGCCTTTTTCCTGATTACTAATCCCCTGAGATATTGGGGGCTTGTATTTTTACAAGTCCAACCCACTATGTGTAAATCTTAACCTCCAAATGCTAGATTTCAGTTGCTGAACAAGGAAAACGAAAAAGCTGAGGACTCGAAACCTGTCGCCATACTCACAACAAATGGGAACTAAACATCGATAGTTTTCAGTTTTCACCTCGGATGCTCTGTTCTGATCTGGGGCTGTCGGGTTTCCAGTCATCTGTGAGTTTCCTCATTGCCCCCCCCCCCTTTTTGCAATTGCTACTGTTGTATTTGGGAAAAGAAAAGGGAAAAACTCGGACAAACAGGCACGACTGGTTTAGTTGTTCACTTCGCCATCCCGTCTCATTGTCTCAATATTTACTGTTTTGTTTCGGTAATTGTTTACTATGATCTTACTGTCTCGAGATTCGGTGTTAGTCTAGGCTAGTCTCAGGTGCAAAGTTTCAGATCAGTTCTTGTTATGAATACATTTGATCTGTTTTGATTTGATCAGTAGCTTAGTGGTGTGGATGAAGAAAAGCATTTTCACTGTTGTTTAAGACCAGAAAGAAGCTACGGAAGACAATCAAACTATTGTGTCTGCATGCATTCATGGTTCTTGTCTCTTTACACAAAACTGTTTTTGTTTGGTATGATGGAATGTCTTTCAGGATAAGTAGAAAAACTTATATAATTAAAAAAATTGCTCATTTTATTCTCATACCCCATGTTTGATATTCCAATCCCAAGAATATTTGATTATTGATAAAATATTTTGTATGAATGGGAAACAATGTGACGGTTTAATTTGTAAATCCCAAGGGTATATGAGTATTGATAAATTATTTAAGCTTTCCATTTGCGGAAATCATGCTGATTTGGTTTGCTTTACATTGAGCGAGTTGTATTACACATCAGCTCGAGCCAGCCGTCTTATTGGAGAGTCTTGCATCTTGACTTGAGTATTCATAATTACTGAATTTTAATTTGTTCATCCTTGATGTCATGTGACAGTCTCCATTTGCAAAACTCATGTCGGTTTTGGTTTGTGAATCGATAGCCTTGGCTTTCCCTGTCTTTGTGGCTGCCTTTCTTTTTCAGTAGAACACTCAATGTATGCTTGTTATGTGTGTTGAACAGGATACAATTTTTGAGTTAACAGAGCATGAGAGCCGGGGTTAGCTCATTATCTATTGGGAAAAAGGTGGCAGAGTACTCTCTTTACGTTCGATCTCTACTTGCAGTGATGGGGGAAGAGAGAGAGAATAATCCTGAATTCTTTGTGTTTCTTTTCTAGGTCTGGTTTTTCTTTCTCCATAATCTGTAGCAGCTGAATCTATGCCTGGAAACGACTTTGGGGAGAGGATCCACAATTTCTTTGGACAGGAGGGCTTACCCCAAGGCCAGCATCAATCCCAGGTTGTGGAGGGAAGCTGGCCCAGTTTTAGTAACGGTCTCTTAGTGGGCAGCCAGAGGCAAAGAGATTCATCTCTAGTTTCCAATTTGAAGAGTTATAATGCACAACAAACTGGTATTCCTTTTCTTGCTGCTTATTTCAGCGTTTCTTTTGGTTTTATTCTCACAAAGCTACAATTTCATAACAAGAAATGTCAACATCAATGCTCTTTTTATTAATTTTGATAAGAAATTTTGGGTACAATTCGTTGGATATTAATTTTAGTTGCTAGATATGCCTTTGTTATTAAATGTAACTTTTCTGCTTGCTCCAGCTGATCCTGAAGAAGGGCAATCTTCAAATGCACAGCATGGTTTGAACTTTACTCAGCAACCAATAAGGTCTGAGTACTCCAGAGGTCATTTGCAAAATCATCAGCAACCCGCAAATGGCTATATGCATGGAAACCAAGTATTACAGGCAATGCAACGCGAAGCAAATTTTTTGGGAATGGATGCAGAATCTGGTGGGCATAGGTTGACATCAAAAGGAATCCCTCCGGACCTTCATAAAATTCAGATGAGGTCAGATATGGAAGAATCTCCAGTTAATTTTGATTTTTTTGGTGGCCAGCAACAAGTGAACAGCCAGTCCCCGGGCATGCTACATTCTTTGTCGAGGCAGCATATGGGTTTCAACGATATGCAATTACTTCAGCAGCAAGTAATGATTAAGCAAATGCATGAGTACCAAATGCAACAACAGCTCCAAAAGCAACAACTGGAAGCCAGGCAGATGAATTCCTTTAATCAGGCTGCTGTCAATGGAAGTCGTTTAGGTGATAATCACTCCCATCCTCTAATTGATGGTATTCCTCTTCGTGATGCGTCGAATAATTCGTGGCAGCATGAAATTATGATGGCAAATACAAACTTGCTGCAACGCAGCATCTCTCCAGTTGTTCAGCATTCATCTGGTGGGCTCATGTTTACCCCTGAGCAAGGACAGATGAACTTTACGGGTTCAGTTCCACAGCAGTTTGAACATTCATTGTACGGTATGCCAGTTACTGGTGCAAGAGGGCTGCAAAACGGTTTTTCTGCCATGCAAATGAATAAGTTAACTCATGAGAATGTTTCAGCTAGCAATAATTCAGCTTTGGCCAGTCAGCATTCTGCATTTTCAAATCAAGGTGATATTCATGAAAGTAACATGGTTCCTAGACCATCAAGCCCAGAGAAACTGTTGTTCTCCCACACATCGATTCAAAGCTCAAACAGTAGACTCAACTTTGAAAATTTACAGCAAGATGATTCCCATGTGAGGAACATTTCGGTGCAGGAGAAGTTTATTGAGAAACAGGAGTCTACTGATCCATCAGAAAAGTCATGTATGAAAATGCCTGAAAACATGACTGCATCGAAGAAAGTGGCAACGTTAGATCCAACAGAAGAAAAGATTCTGTTTGGTTCGGATGACAATCTGTGGGATGCATTTGGAAACAGTACTATAGGAAATAATTTGGCTAGTGGGTCTGACATTGTTGGCTCGTTCCCCTCTCTGCAGAGTGGAAGTTGGAGTGCTCTCATGCAATCTGCTGTAGCAGAAACATCTAGTGGGGACGCAGGAACCCAAAAATGGGGAAGTAAACGGCAATCTGTATGGGCTGATAACAATACTGATGCCCTGGGAAATTCTCAGAATAGCCTAAGTGCTCAGGATTCAGGTTTTAAGGCTTCAATTGCACAAAACGAAAGAGTTCACAGGGATGCCACACAAACAGCCGTTAAATATTTCCAAGATAAAGGAAGCAAATTTCTCAATCATGGCCTGTTGGAGAAGCCAATGGCTGAACCTCGTCAAGTGGTTGGAAATAATTTTTGTTCTTCTAGTTCTGGTTTTAACGTGCAGAATAATTCTTGTCCTACTCGAGAGGATGAGGGAATTGGAGATAAGCTTGGTACTTGGAAGGCTGCTTCTAATTCTAATTTAGCTGGGGCAGTGGGACAAAAGAATTTTTTCACACATAATCTACAAATTCAAAGGGTTTCTTCTGGTTTTGCCAGTGCATGTGTAGGAAATGATCCTAGTACTGTGAGGGATGTCCAGGGAAATATCCAACAGCATCTGAATAACAACTCCATGGAAAAGGCTGTCTCTCAAATGAACTCTAGAGAGAGCAAACAGATTCTTGAGTCGCCTGCAAGTGAGAATGCAGGCAAAACAGCTGCTGAAACTAATGGCAAGGTGAATTCTCCAATGGAAAACTCGGGTGATGGTTTTCGATCTAATATCAAATCACAGGCTTCTGCCAGTGGTTTTAGGGAAAGTGCGCATGTAAATGTACGTGGTTCCTCTTTGTTGCCTGGTGGGGAGCAAATGCAATCCGGTCATGTTGGTCATAGGCCCTTGATGCCTCGCAAATTTCAGTATCATCCAATGGGTAATATTGATGTCAGCGATGAACCTGGTAGAGAAAAAGTTACGCATTTACCACCAATGTTCCAGCAGGTACCTGGAGGAGAACAATGGTATTTTGGACAGTCAAACTCTATTGGTCTGACAGCTGTAAACAGGGGAATGGAAAAGGTGAAGTTTTTATCCTGTCCTATCTCTCTGTTGTGATAGAAATATTTGAAACTCACGGAACATTCTCCTGATTTCATTGGATAGGGCCATGTTTCTCAAGGTGACTTGAATTGCCCCAATGAGGCATCACTCAAAGGCATGTATCAGGATGATTCACCTAGTATATCTAGTTCGGTTGACGGAATTGTTGACAGGGGTAATCAAGTCAAGGGTGCTGCTTCATCAAGGTAGTATTCCTTTATACTCATTGTTCACATATGCATGCTTGTTAAGTTGGTGTGGCTTTGATGTAATTTTATCAATTAGAGTTGCCAAGCTATGCCAACTATTGATATTCTGCAACTCATTCAGTAGAATTGGTCACTAACTGTTACTGGTTTACTGATTATTTCTAATGGTGTTATGACTTGAATACGGTGCATAATTATGCTACTGACTTTTATGAACTGCAGACAGACTATGCTGGAGCTTCTTCATAAGGTGGATCAATCGCAGGATCATGTCATGGGAACAAGTGTTTCTGGGTTGCCTGAAGCTAAGACTTCTGCAGAAACTGGTGGTCAACTTCAGCATAATCAGGCATCTGCTCCTCAGGGTTTCAGTTTACAATTGGCGCCTCCATCTCAACCTGTTACGTCACCTGATAATGCTCCATTTCCTCGAAGCTCTTTGCAGGCTGTTAAATCTTTGAATCCAATTCATAATGCCTCTGAAAAAGGAGGAATGAGTCAATCAAAGTCGGTTCCATGGACATCTAATCAGGCTTTTCTCCACCAAGAGACCCATAAAGGAGCATTTCCTGGTATCCCCGGACAAATCAACTGTTCGTCTGGTTTTCCTTTTTCCAGACCATATCAACAAAACCAGCAAATGTCTGCTGCTACCCGACCATCAGCTGCGAACCAATCAGTCAATTCGCTTTTTAAGATGTCTACATCTCAGGTGAAAGAAAGAGATGGATATGGTGAAATAGCTCAACACAGACAATTGGCACAAATGCCACCCCAGCTCAGTCCTAACACCGACAACAATAACGAAGATTTGGCCAAAGGATATACCATGCAGGAAGCAATGTCAGCTTCTCAGCCTCGAGTTGCATCCAGCTCATCAGAGCAAGGGCTTTCTTCTGCTATGATGTCAGGTTCAATGGTGCAACGTCAGTCTTCTAAGCCTCATCCAGATATTGTAAGATCTCATCTGTTCCCGAACAACAGTCTAGAGGGGAGATTAGCTGGACAAGAGAAGACAAATCAAACAGCTCAAAATGGAGGAGAGGGGCCATCAGCAGGGGGGAACTTGATGAATAAGCTTGAGTTACAGGGTAAAGATATTACTGCAAAACATGCATCTGATGCTGCTTCAATGTTTTCCAAATTGGCGCAGAACAATCTTCAAACACTTGGTCGGTCATTTATGCCGCACAACCTTTCAAAGGAAAAGAACGCGCATTACCTAGAGCATATGGCTGCAAATGGGGAGGATAATTCAACCAATAATAGGGTTGTGAACAGAGGTGAATGTAGTCTTGCAGATCCTAAAAATTTAGCACCTAGAGGGGAGCAACAATCACCTCTGGGATCTGATGGTTTGGTTAGAGATGGACTGGTCCAAAGTAAGGAATCTGTGCATCCGATTGGCCCAACGGTTTCTCAAAGTTTCTCCAATAAGAATCTCGTTGCTTCTGCTGTACTGTTTTGTTTCGGTAATTGTTTACTATGATCTTACTGTCTCGAGATTCGGTGTTAGTCTAGGCTAGTCTCAGGTGCAAAGTTTCAGATCAGTTCTTGTTATGAATACATTTGATCTGTTTTGATTTGATCAGTAGCTTAGTGGTGTGGATGAAGAAAAGCATTTTCACTGTTGTTTAAGACCAGAAAGAAGCTACGGAAGACAATCAAACTATTGTGTCTGCATGCATTCATGGTTCTTGTCTCTTTACACAAAACTGTTTTTGTTTGGTATGATGGAATGTCTTTCAGGATAAGTAGAAAAACTTATATAATTAAAAAAATTGCTCATTTTATTCTCATACCCCATGTTTGATATTCCAATCCCAAGAATATTTGATTATTGATAAAATATTTTGTATGCTTCCAAAAATGGACTGGTCCAGCCCCTGAATGATGCATGCGGATCCACCCCTTTAAGGATGGCAGAACAATCTTCTATCACTGGGAAATTTGCCGATGGTTCACATTCTGGTCAAGCATCAAAGGAATTAGTGGCTGAGGATCCCGGTCAGGTTGAACTTGGAGCAGAAACTCTCTCGTCTGAGTCATTACCACCTCGTGGTGCCACTGAGCAACTTCTGTCTGTTGATAGACCAAAAAAGCGTAAAACTGCCATGTCAGGATTTGTGTCGTGGAGTAAAGAGGTCATGCTAGTTTCCCAGAGGCTTCAGACTCTCAGGTGCTTTAGCATAAGCGTCCTTATTCGATAGATAGTCACTGAGTTGCTATTATTATCCGATACTCACTAATAACATCACCATTTTCTTTGCAGCGAGAGTGAGGTCGATTGGGCAAGAGCTACTAATAGACTTCCTGAAAAGGTAGAGGTTGCATTTTTAATGTTTGTTGCTTTCCCATAGTTATAGTCTTTTTATCTGACGCAATTGAATGTTTTGACGGCTTCTGTTCTTACAGTTGGAAGCTGAAAGCGAGTTACTTGAAGACGTACCACCAGTCCTCAGATCAAAAAGAAGGCTTATGTTTACTACTCAGCTCGTCCAGCAACTTTTCCGTCCCCCTCCCGCAAGGTTAATAACGTCTTTAAATGCAAACTCAAATTACGATACAGTTGTATACACTGCTATGAGAGCAGCACTAGGAGACGCTTGCAGCTCCATTTCTACTGCCAGAAGCGAGAGATTTGGACCACCCAATGATGAAAACCCGTAAAGATCCTACCATCCTTGTGTCTCTCTAAAATTGTTTTATGCCCGCTGTTACAATCGAGGTCTCTTCCCATATTTACAAGAACAAATCCGCCATTTGTATAGGTTGAAAACAGCAGAGAAAATCAGTGATCAATACATATCAAAAGCTGCAGAAGAATTCAATGGCAGAACTCAAAGACTAGAGAGCGAGTTCTCGAGGTAAATCCTATCTCTCCTCCATGGCTGCTCGCTTATTGGATCCGATTCCGATCTTTAAACAAGCACTCGCTATTCTTTTCCGGGTTTGTCTCAAGAACTAGAACATGTGGTTGGTTTTTCAGGGTAGAAAAGGGAACTACTTTTCCAGATTTGAGAGTGGAAGTCCAGGAACTAGAGAAGTTTTCAGTGATCAATCGTTTCGCAAAGTTCCACGCAAGGGGACCGCTCGATGGAACCGAGACCTCGTCGTCTACCGATCGGACATTGAGCTCTGTTAGGTTATACCCACAGAGATATGTTACGGTCGCTCCCATGCCTCGGAATGTTCCAGACAGTGTTCAATGCCTCTCTCTTTGATTACTTTGATGAATCCATTATTCACTTTTTTTGGGGCCAAATCTGTTAAAATTCATCGCTTCTGAGGGTCAGGTCTCTAGCATCATTGTTCACTTCATTCAGAACATTGTAAGCCAATCCATTTGTATACTTGGTAAAGAGAGGAGAAAAAAAACCATGCTCATTAGAGAGGAACCATTTATGCACTGTAATTTTTCCGGAATTGGGCACATATTTATATATAAGATTGCAATTTCGTTTTCCTATTTGGGAAAAAAAATTATAAAGTTCTTTACACAACTGAAAATTGCCAAGATAAAGTCTTCTAATTAAATTAATTACCAATTCTGAAATAATGAAAAAAATGATGATACTAGTAGTACATTAGGGGTACATTAGTCTTGATCGGAAGTTTAAGGTAATGTTTACTATAATAAAAGAGGTAAGAGGTTAAATTGTAATTTATGTGAAACTAGGGGGCTTTCCCACTGTTACAGCTCGCGATTTTTATTTATTCCCAAACACAGTTACACAGCAGATTCGGTTTCCGTCGGCGATCGGAGAAGGAGAGAGAAGATGTCTCACACTCACGGCAGCGCTTCATCGGCGAACGATCCGCGACAACCGTCGGCGGCGAAGCCGTACTCCCCGGCGCCAGTTTCACCGCAGGATCTTCCCGTTGACTACTCCGGTTTCATCGCAGTTATCCTCGGCGTCTCCGGCGTCATGTTCCGGGTAAAGGACATAATCATTGATCCCTGTCTTGCTAGTTGCTTGACCAACTGTATCTGGAAGATCTTGATCTTGATTAGTTAATGTGAGAGAGGATCTGAAGTTGCTGCGATAGATTTGCTGATTTCGATTTGTTGGGTGTTTGTGATTCATTCGGAGGGACAAATTTGCTGATTTTGAATCTTTGGATGTTTATAGTTCAAGCAGTGAACTTTGAATTCTGCGATTCATTAGTTGATTCAACTACGATATGAAGTTTTTCTCTATTGATTTTGGATGCTTCTGAATTTCACCAGAAGATTCAAAATTTTTCTATTCGTTATGTTTGATTTTGGCAATCGATGATATGCATATGTTGGATTGATTCCCTCACTCCAAGAATGAGCTTTCTCACTGTTCCTCAAAAACTAAGGTTTTGCAGCAAGAAAGTTGATGATATCGTATTATATGCCACCTAGATCGGTTTGCTCTTGTTAAAGTTTCAAGCTTGAGATTTCTTTGCTAAAGTATATGCTTACCGACAAAGACTGAACCTTTGTGATGTGTAAATAGATTGATGATTTTACTCGTTCACTGTAACATTTGAATCCCTAAATCTAAAGGGTGGTATTTGAAAAAAGATGTGATTTTTTTATGTCCTCATTTTATGTTGTTTTTGTTGTTTAACAGTACAAGCTTTGCTCATGGCTTGCAATTATATTCTGCGCACAATCTCTGTCCAACATGAGGAACCTGGAGAACGATCTGAAGCAGATCTCTATGGCTATGATGTATATATCCCATCCCATGTCATTCTTTCTAAGATGCTTTTCTTTTCCTTTTCTCATGAATATAGTTTACTAGCTTCATGATAGTTTGTGTTTTATGTGTGAATAACCTCCTTGATCCCAATTCCCTGTGTATAGTCATTCTCTGAATCGGTGGTAATAGCATAGTACCTAGTGTTATGTAGTATATCGTATGTCACCCAAAGAAAGCTTCCGGATCCATTAGTAAAAGAACTAGTGCAATTGGAAATCAAATTGGCCAGTGGAAATCATGCACTTGAATGGGACTAATAGGAACGACTAATAAGCCGAGGAAAATAAATTTGACGTGAGTTATGGTTCTTTTGGTCTGCTCTTTAGATGTCAAAGTTCAGTGATTTTCAAGATTATATATATATTTGTCGGCACATATGATGTGACACCTGATATTAGCGGGATGTGATGGAGTCATAAGTGATTGTGCTCGATTCGCCTTATCTTGGCCTTGGTCGACACCAGATGATGTTTGTTGCTATCCATTGTTGGCAATACTTGTGGTTAATGCTTGATATTTCAAGCATGCTATACATTTGAGCAGTTGCTATAATTTGGATGCTTGTCTTAACCCCTTTTCATGTATTGTTGAAACAGGTTTGCTATAATGGGATTGGTCACAAACTACTTGGGACCTGCTAGACCCGCCACAAAAAAATGATACGTCTCCGATCCGATCATGAAGATACCTTGCTTTGATTTGTTTAGGAACCTTCAGGCACGCTAGTTACCGTTTTCGCGTTAATGTTGTGTTTTACGTTGGTGAAATTTCTCGGGTTTTTTTGCCTCTAGAAACTAATAGCTGTGACCTTGAAGCCTGAAAGCTCATATCATATTTTGGTGTTTATTGTGGTAAAATAAAACCAGCGGTTATGGATTAAAAACTTAAGCTTTATTCAGTTGGATCTTTCCTGATTTCCATGCAGTCTTTACCAAACAGATAGTCTGGCATGAGAGAGTGTATTCAGGGCTCTCTATGACATGAAATGAAAGCAGCTGCAGAGATTTTTACCTATTGTTGGCTCTTGGAAACGATAAGAGAGACACTCTCTCATTGGTTAAAGTGTATATCATCGTTTTGGTATCTTGGATAGGAAATCATACAAATCTCGCCCGAGATTAAAAAAGAGTTTTTTTATATGTATTTTCGATTTTTATTGATTTAAATCTAATCTGAGGACTCGCAGTGTGTCATTCGATTTGGGATCTGGCCAGTGGCCACATTTGGAACGGAAAGATGAGAAGCAGGCCTGGCCCGACCCAACCCAAAACAAGAAGGGTACTTCCGTAATTTCAAATAGCCCGTTCAAAAACCCTAATTGTGCCTCGTCTCTTAATTCCCTCTGCTCGCCGACGCCGCAGCACAAGGAGAAGCACGAGAGGAAGAATAAGGGGCGGTGAAACTATGGCGACGGGAAAAACAGTGAAGGATGTCTCCCCGCACGAGTTCGTCAAGGCCTACGCCGCGCACCTCAAGCGCTCTGGCAAGGTAATAGGCCCTACGACTGACGAATCTGTTCTTCTACGCGTACATTTACTGAAAGCCTTCGAGGAACCTGTTTGTATATGTCCATCGGATTTGTTTGCGCGATTCGTTGCAGTTTCGGGTTAAGAATTTGTTTCGTTATATGGATATGATCTCGTTTAGATTGTTGTCAAGTGTGGTTTGGATTTGAATTGGCTGTACTCTCTATGAAGATTCGTATCGGACGCTGTGCGGAACCGTCGCAGCATGAATAAATTCGTATGTGGAAATACATCACGATGATGTTGGTAGATATAGATACGGGTTGAGATGACAATCTGAGCTTAGCCTATTTCGTTCAGCGGTTTTGATCCAATAAAGTCATCAAATTTTACGTGACTTAGTCGGAGGCGAATTCTACGTTTCGTTGTCTTTTGTGAGAATATACATGATTTTGACTGTCATTGTGCTTTCATGATATCTCACCCATTTTTTTGTGCAGTGCTGAAACTAGGTCAGGTTTCTCTGGTTGCCATGCTTTGTTATTCATGTTCCTTAAATCTCGGTTGTTGCTATGGTGTAGATTGAGCTGCCTCCATGGACAGACATTGTCAAGACCGGGACCTTGAAGGAGCTTGCTCCATATGATCCTGACTGGTACTACATCAGAGCCGGTATGTATTACTCATGATTCCCCAGGTTTCATTGCATCTCTTGCCTTGCTTGAATAAGTTGTGTTAAAGTGACTATGAGGCTTGAGCCCGTTTTTTCTGAGATGAATCCCATGTCTCAGCTTCCATGGCAAGAAAAATCTACCTGAGGGGAGGTCTTGGAGTCGGTGCCTTCCGTAGGATCTATGGAGGAAGCAAGAGGAACGGAAGCCGCCCACCCCACTTTGGCAAGAGCAGTGGTGCTATTGCCCGTCACATTCTTCAGCAATTGCAGACAATGCAGATTGTAGACCTTGACGCTAAGGGGTGAGTTTCTCTTCTCTGTTAACCTTGTCGATTCATTTTACCATTGGTTCATGTGATGTATCGTGTTGATGTTTCCCCATTGATTCTGACTCTTACCAGCGGGAGGAGAATCACTTCAAATGGGCAGAGGGATCTCGACCAAGTCGCTGGAAGGATCACGGTTGCTCTCTAAGTGAGTCACAACTGAAAAGTTCAATGTTTTTTGAATCGTGAAGATAGTTTTGGAATTGAGTTTTATTTGAACCCCTCAAGTAGTAGGTTTCAATTGATTTCATCTGTTTAAAACGATTTCTCATTTGCCCATCGTCTCCGTCGACTTGACTATAAATTATGCTGGACTGCAATTCTGATTTTTATTCTAAGTCAATACATCTTTTTCCAATGTCGCTTATGGAATGGAATTTCAGTGAAATGGTTGGGATTGGGAAGTGGGTAAGCGACAAAACCAATTTGGTTCGCAGAATTGTGTATTGAATTGAATGTTTATTATTCTTGTAGTTGCTAGTTTATTAGTTTCCGTAGATGCGTTGTATGACGTTCTACTCCCTGTGATTAAATGAAAACACTATAATTAGGTTTGGTAACTCGGCCTCACATTCATGCCAGCGTTTGTTGCTGAATTTATGATTTGGTTGTGCTTTGGCCGGCATATACATACACACACATATTATATATATATATATATGTGTGTGAGAGAGTGTGTTTAGAAACTAGTTATTTATGAGTCATGAGTTTGATTTTTTTTTTAATTCTAAAAAGAATTTAGTCAATCTATTATTTACTCGGTTTATTTAACAATAATAATAATAAGAGATGTTGCTTGCTTGCGTAGCTGCCTGCATTCCTTGCGAGTGGTTTTTGCTTTACCTTTGGACAAAACCCTCCGACGGGAGGCAGAGTCAGTCACATGCACTTTGGAGTGTTTTTTAGCAACCGTATAGTAGACCAGAGGCTAAGTTTGCTTATCAAGCAAGTTATGTCGGTTTTAGAAAAAAAATTCAAATTCAGTACGAAGATTTTAAAAGTTCGTGATAAATCTGCATTAATCTAAACTGGTAACTTGATATTAAACCGGTCGGCAGGCAAATTATTTATACAATGTTTTAAAAAAAATACACTTATGGTAGAATGTTATCTCAATTATAAGATGGTCCTTTTTAGGGGTGGGGTTTTGATGTGGTTCCCGAAAAATGTTTTGTTCTTGAATCAAACTATACAAAATTTTTCAAACGGTAATTTTTTTTTCTTCATAAAATTGGATTTTTCGGAATCCAACCACATTTTAAAAAAACTTGAAAAAACGATTTTATTTTTTTTTTAAAAAAAAATCAGAACCAAATTGAAACCAAATCAAATATAATATAATAATGGACTGATATATATTTTTGTAAAAGTGAAAAATCCGAATTAAATCATTATCGAACTAAATACCCGCCCATCACTAGTCATTTTTGCGTGCTCTTGTTATCCCTAGATCATTCACACCTTTTTGTAACAAAATGTAAAAGATATCGTAAAAAGGGTTATGCAAACTTAAATAAACGTTGACTCCCGACTATGCTGTTAATACTGAGTTCATGCGTGTACAAAGCTGCGGATCTATAAAAAAAAATCCTTGCACTGGAACCATTATACATAGTTATATAGATATAAAAAAAATTCTAACAAGAATATTGCACGGAGCCGGTGTTTACTGTTCGAGATGTTGTCCGACCCTCGAGATCGGCCGGTGTCCGGCCCGAAGTATTGTGGTGATGGGTTTCCCACCGTTACAAAAAAAAAATTATAACAAGAAAAATGTACCTCAATATTCGAACTCCTAACCATAAAATTACTACATCCTTTCGTTCATAAGGGCATTTACACATTTATATACATCTATTTATTTTAGGGAAAATGTAAAAAAAACATAAAACAAGAAAAGTCGAAGCTATTTGTTTTGGAACAAGAAGACAGAAGAAGAGAAACTGTATGTCAGAAAATATGGCAACGGAAGTGGGTCTCTTGCCATTTGCCCACAAAAATATTACGAATGCGGAGGCCATTGGATTTGACCAAATTCAACCCCCTTTTCGCCCTCTTCGCCCTTTTTATTTTACCATAAATACATACGTGAATCATACCTTATTATATCCATATAATATTAGGTCGGTCCACACGATAAACCTAATATGTAATTCACTGTGTAAAAGACGTTTGTATTAAGAAAGGATTGACTTTTCTATATTATTCAACTAAATTTAGCATTCTATTTAGAAACAAATTGTTTAAATATTTTTATTTTTATATCGTCAATGAAAACCCCAAGAGATTATTTTGCAAAACCTTGCGAGTTTTTATAAAAAATTGTTCCCTTTTTATTGCATTTGGGGAGCAGATGCCACATCTCTGAAAACGTGTTGAACGCTCCATCTTCAGCTTTTTCTCCCTCCTCTGGTTTTTCCAGATCTGAAGTTGCTTTGATCAGTAAAAGCTCGATTTAATTTTAATTATATATATTAAATACAACTAATTGAACTAATCAATAATTAACTATCCCGTAATGCGGTGATTAACACGTGACGAGGGGGGCAAGTAGGCATGTCTTATGTCTTATTTAAGGATGTCTCCTCTGGTTTCTGGTTTCCACCAAACCCTTCAGAACCTCTCTTCTGCTTCGAGGCGATAGAAAAGGTACCGTCACCCATCTCCCTTCATTCTTGTGGTTTTTAATGCATGGAAGATACGATGTGTGTGTGTGTGTATATATGTAGGATTCTTGGCTACATTTATAGATTCCAGATTTCATATTCTTCATCTTGATTACGTTTTCTCTGATAAAAAAACCCTAACTTTCAGACTAAGAAACCATCTTTTATCCTCTTCCCCCCCCCCCAAATTCTCGACGAAATTAATGTGGGATTTGGTCCTTCTCGCTCCGTTTTCCTGTCCTCAAGACCCGATATGGGAATTTCGGGTCCGGATTCGACATACTCGGGGTTCTATATCCGGGCCCGTAGTCTATATGAGTCCCTAACGTGTTTCCCAAGAAACCCATATGGATATTTACCATTTCTTTGGTACCCCTTCAAACATTCGATTGATCTGCAGACTTTCAGAGACCATTTATCGTTTTCTGTTACAAAAAAAAAAAACCCTAACTAAGCACCAAATGAACAACATGTTGGAACATAAACTTGTTCCTTGCATTTTGTGCTCTGGGAAAATGTGTTCAAAGACTTAGAATTATGTGTTCAAATATATTAAATATTTAGACTATATTTATTAGTAGTTCTAATTTAAGGTGTAGTATATATATGGTGTATGTATATATTTATTCAATGGCATTTCTCGTCCTCTCCATTTCTTCACAGTTATCAAGCTCTGTCAAGAAGGAGAAGAAAGAAACGATGGTGATGAAGATATGCTGCATCGGGGCTGGATATGTCGGAGGTCCGACAATGGCGGTGATAGCGCTCAAGTGCAGTGACGTGCAAGTCACCGTCGTCGACATCTCGGCCGGTAGGATCGCCGCCTGGAACAGTGACTCGCTCCCTATATACGAGCCCGGGCTGGACGAGGTCGTGAAGCAGTGCAGAGGGAAGAACCTCTTCTTCAGCACCGACGTGGAGGGACACGTGGCGGCTGCGGACATCGTCTTCGTCTCCGTCAATACCCCGACGAAGACTCGAGGCCTCGGTGCCGGAAAAGCCGCCGATCTCTCCTACTGGGAGAGCGCCGCCAGGATGATCGCCGACGTCTCCACCTCCGGTGAGACCATATATACGCAGACAAAAAAAATCATTTTATTATTATTATTATTATTGCTTAGTGGAGAAAGAAACTTTGCAAATGGTTCACATTTTGGGATGAACCCAACGTAAAAAAAAATTGATTTTAAAAAGGTGGCGTAATTTATAGTATATTAAAAATAGATGTTTTATTTTTGTTTTTTTTTTTTATTTTCATTTATTTTTTTGATGAAATATTTTCATTTATTTTGATTTGGATATACCAAGAGATTCACACTTTCGGATGAACCCAACAAAAAAAACATTTTTAGGGTAAATTAATTCAAAAAAAAGGTGGTATAATTTCTAGTATTAGGAAAATATAGGTGAAATATTTTCATTTTTTTTTGTTTTTTTTTTCATTGGTTTCATAACATAAAATAATCTTTAATTAAACTCATGACGGCAGACAAGATCGTGGTGGAAAAGTCAACGGTGCCGGTTAAGACAGCGGAAGCAATAGAGAGGATCTTGACGCACAACAGCAAAGGCAAGAACTTTCAGATCCTTTCGAACCCAGAGTTCCTCGCCGAAGGCACCGCCATTCAAGATCTTCTAAATCCCGACAGGGTTCTCATCGGCGGCAGAGAATCTCCGGCCGGCCAGAGGGCCATCCAGTCTCTTAAAAGCGTTTACGCCAATTGGGTACCCGAAGAAAACATCATCACGGCGAATCTCTGGTCTGCCGAGCTCTCAAAGCTAGCCGCGAACGCGTTCTTGGCCCAGAGGATCTCGTCCGTTAACGCCATGTCTGCTCTCTGCGAAGCCACAGGAGCTGACGTGTCTCAGGTCTCGTTTTCTGTCGGGAAAGACAGCAGGATCGGGCCCAAGTTCTTGAACTCGAGCGTCGGGTTCGGTGGATCTTGTTTCCAGAAGGACATCCTCAACTTGGTTTACATCTGCGAGTGCAACGGATTGGCTCAGGTCGCGGATTACTGGAAACAGGTGATCAAGATCAACGATTACCAGAAAAACCGTTTCGTAAACCGGATCGTTTCCTCCATGTTCAACACGGTTTCCGGGAAGAAGGTTGCGGTTCTTGGCTTCGCGTTCAAGAAAGACACCGGCGACACTCGCGAGAGCCCCGCCATCAGCGTGTGCAGAGGCTTGCTGGGCGACAAGGCGAGTCTGACGGTGTATGATCCTCAGGTCTCGGAGGAACAAGTCATGAATGATCTGAAGGCGGAGGTGATCGATTGGGACCGTCCGATCAAATCTCAGAGGCCACGTGGAATGAGCCCAGATGATCTGAAGCAAGTGAGAGTGGTTTCAGATGCCTATGAAGCTGCAAAAGATGCTCATGGGGTCTGTGTGCTGACAGAGTGGGACGAGTTCAAGTCTCTTGATTTCGAGAAAATCTACGCCAATATGCAGAAACCGGCGTTTGTGTTCGATGGGAGAAACGTGATGGACGTGGAGAAACTGAGGAAAATAGGGTTTATTGTGTATGCGATAGGGAAGCCATTGGATCCGTGGCTGAAGGACCTGCCGGCGGGTGGTTGAGAAAGGGGCTACCCACGTAGGTTACTTGGGGAAGAAGTTTCGTTTCTTTTTTATTTGATACAAAATTATACTGTCTCTCATTATTGTTTGCTGTTTTTTCAGAGGGTAAGAATAAAGAGATGATATCATCTCTGTAATAAAACAGTGTAAAACCCAATAATCAATGTAACAAAAAAAAAAAAAGATTAAAACCCCCATGAAGTTGTAACATTTCAAAAGAAATATAAGTTTATTATTTGATTTACATTGCATTTATATATATATGGTACTTCGTCTATGTGTATTTGGGGAGAGAAAAAAAGTTTTTGGCCCCTACCATTTTAGATTTTGATGAAAATGACCCCACAGGTTTTGATTGTACTAAATTTTTAGTTGCATGGGATACCCTTCCGTTCCGTGTAGACAATTTTGTACGTCAATACTTTATTTTATACGTATGGCTACCCACGTAGGTTACTTGGGGAAGAAGTTTCGTTTCTTTTTTATTTGATACAAAATTATACTGTCTCTCATTATTGTTTGCTGTTTTTTCAGAGGGTAAGAATAAAGAGATGATATCATCTCTGTAATAAAACAGTGTAAAACCCAATAATCAATGTAACAAAAAAAAAAAAAGATTAAAACCCCCATGAAGTTGTAACATTTCAAAAGAAATATAAGTTTATTATTTGATTTACATTGCATTTATATATATATGGTACTTCGTCTATGTGTATTTGGGGAGAGAAAAAAAGTTTTTGGCCCCTACCATTTTAGATTTTGATGAAAATGACCCCACAGGTTTTGATTGTACTAAATTTTTAGTTGCATGGGATACCCTTCCGTTCCGTGTAGACAATTTTGTACGTCAATACTTTATTTTATACGTATGTGTATATATATCTCTATACATATTTCAATAATAGATATATACGACAGTTGTTAAATAAAAAATCTCCGAGTTTTTCCATTTTCTTTGCCCGTAAGTAAACATAAAGTTTCTTTTTTGAAATTCTTATCCAATTCTTTTTGGGATTATTTTCGTCAGAAAAATAAAATTACGTGGGGAGATGAACATCTTTTAAATTCACACGTAAAACTGATTCCTCCTGAGAGCAACCGGATGGGTGAGCATAAATTCCTTTTGTAGGTTAGTAAGCAACTTACCATTAAACGCTGAGCTGACCACGCACGTCATTTCCAAGTCTTCGAGGCACTGTTTACGGCAGCGGAGATGAGCTCTACGGCGGCGGAGCCACTGCAGTACGTGACGGCCAAAACCTCGGTGTGGTGGGACATTGAGAACTGTGAAGTTCCGAATGGCTGGGATGCATACGGAATCGCTCAGAACATAAGCTTAGCTCTGGCGAAGATGAACTACTCTGGCTCTCTCTACGCATATGGCGACACCAATCGTATCCCTTCCTCTGTCCAACAAGCCCTCTCTTCCACTGGCATCGCGCTCAATCACGTCCCCTCCGGTGATTTTTCTCCCAGCCCTCGCTATTTGTTCGATTTCGTCGCTTCTCTGGCGAAAATTGATGTGCGACTTAGGGTTTCTTTTAGCTACTGTCTTGTTTCTGGATCGGAGGCTTTTAGATCGTTCTGTTAGGAAGGGCGCTGACTTTGGTGATGCTAATGCATGAAAGATGAGTTCTCTTGGTTTGTTATGTCGAATCAAAGGTGAGTCCTCTTGCTTTCTGGATCTGACTTTCTAGGTTAGGTTATATTCTCTTGGTTTGTTATGTCGAATCAAAGATGAATTCTTCTCCTTTGTGGAATAGTGACATGAGTGAAAGATGCGAGCGGCAAGAAGATTTTGGTGGATAGGTTTTTATGGGCACTGGAAAATCCTGCACCTGCTAATTTTATGCTCATCTGCGGTGACCGGGACTTCTCCAATGCCTTTCACCAGTTGCGCATGAAGAGATACAACATTCTCTTGGCACAACCACAGAAGGCGTCGGCACCATTGGTCGCTGCTGCATCAAGCGTGTGGCTCTGGACAAGCCTTATTGTAGGAGGATATCCTCTCACATGCAATGACTCCTCACAAGTTGTTGTTGATGGATGTCATCCTTCTGAACTGTAACATCAAATCTTTCTCCTTCTGACCCAGCTTCCCCCAGCCAGGCTATGAGTTCGGATTCTGAAGGTGGAAGGATCGGTGATAATGGAAATTGCGGGAATTATAATCCTAAATCAGCAAATCAGCCTATACAACAGGACACTAAAAGGTACAAGCTTCCAAGTAAGGATGGCACGAGTGACTTTGTCAAGGCATGCACATTATGCAAAGCTGTTTGCTACAATTTGGAATCTTTTACCGCCCACCTATCTGATAAAAGGCACTCAGCTGCTCAGGTATACTAAATATTGATTTTAGTATTTTGAACCAAAAGAAATGTCATTTGGTTACTATCTTTCATGTGTACGGTTCCTTTTTTCTTGATCCATCTTAGTGCCGTTATTGGCTATATGGTCCATATTGGGATATCAAATTCAACCTCAAGTTGTTGCTAATTTTGGATATATTTGATTATAATGATCATATTTTGAACCTATTCCATGAGAGAGAATACAACCATGATGCATATATACTAATTTTCTGATACGTGTATCTCTCATTGTCTATTCCAGTTTTGTCCTTGTTGTTGTGGTACTATTTACTCAAAGTAATTCCCGCTAGGTGAAAATAGAAGTTAAACCGCCGTCATTCTTTTGTGTAGGCTGCTTCAGTACCCCATGGGGGAGCTCAGGCCGGTGTTGGTGGCTTCAGTACCCCACAGGGGAGGTCAGGGCCTTCCAATTCCTCTGCCAATTCCTCTGTGAGAGCTCAGACTGGTGTTTCGACCAAACCTTTAAAGGAACAAAGTCTTGTGAATCCTTGTGTGGTGCAACATCTGCCAGATAAACTGCACAAGCAAGATTGACTATGGAAATCACATACACGGGAAAAAACACCAAATGAACTTGGAAGTGAAGCTGGGCAAGGCGAAAAAGACATCTACAGGACCAACTGAGCGTCCTGAAAAGGACATGACTGGGAAGAAGAAGGTGACTGAAGGTGGACCTGATGCTGGTGCAGTTAGGGTTTGTAGTTTGTGCAGAGTTGTGTGCCCTTGCCAAGCTGCTTTTGAGTCTCATCTTAAGGGGCGTAAACATGTTGCAATGGTGAAGACGCAAACAGAGGTAAGTGATAAACCTTTCCCAACGCACCCAGGAGGAACAGGGGAAGGAAGAAGCCAGCCATGGTCAAGGAAGCGATTTGAGCATCAGAAGGAAGGAGATGGGACTAAAAGGGAGAAGTCTGACGTGGAGGCAGCATCGTGGGGAACAAGGAAACATCTGCAGGACATCATTAATTGCTGAAGAATATTTTTGTTATACACACAAGGTTTTGGGAGAATGGTTTTTTTTTTAATAAAATTTGGTTGTATTAATCAAAACTGGTGGTATATCGATCAGGATCCCGAATCCACATTACAAACGACCAAGCTTTAAAAACCAACAACAAAACATCCATGAAAGGGAAAGAAACGACCAAGCTTTAAAAACCAACAACAAAACATCCATGAAGGGGAAAGAGACTTACAATGCACCTCTTTTCTATGGTTGACAACTCATTACGATTAAAGGTTAGGGAATACTATTTCTACAAAAGGATATTATTTGCAGAATTTGTCGGTTGTTGCAGAGCAAGGAGAACATTTCTGATCGAGTGGTCCAAAATGGACACAAGAGCTTCAGCCGGAGTCTGCGTGTTAAGGAACTTACGGTTGTTTCGTTCCCTCCAAATCTCGTAGATTGTCTGCTGGATGAATATGTTGCTGAGGATACCCTGCCTATCTTCTCTTCCGCTGGAATACTCCCTAACTAGGTTTTACAACTCAATAGATCATTAGGCAGGTCCATCCATATCCTTGGCGCTAATCTTCACCATACCTTGAGCTATAAGAGCAATGAAAGAACAAATGTGTGTGCGATTCCTCCTCCTCGTTGCATAAATTGCAATCCGCTTCTTGGACCATGTTCCATCTAAGTAGACGATGACGATCCCTCGTTGGCAGCCTCCTTTGCATAGCCATCCAATGGATAAAGGTGTTCCTAGGAGTGGCTTGGGTGAACCACACCATGTGGAACCAATCAACCTGATTTGAACCTTCCCTTGGCTGTCTCCAAGTGGCCTTTGTTGAGAAGTAATGGGAAAATGTGTCATTCGATGTCTTCCATTCAAACTTGTCATATCCATCATCCTCTATTGGCACCGGGGTTTGAAGAAGTCTGACCTGCAGATCTTGGATTTTGGGAGGAAGTTTGTTATGTACATGCTATGATTAGTAGTGCCACCTTAGCTGGTTCAGGTATCGAGTATTATGTTTTGAATTGGGTGTGAGATGGGAGAGTAGTGTTCCTTGTGAAACTGGTATTTTGTATTTCTCTTTTGTTTATCCAAATATGCTTTCTATCATAAGTTCTATCGTTTCTGGAAGGTTCAAAATGTTTTTTTAACCTAGAAATTGCTAAATTTTGGTGAAAATGGATCATAAGTATTTTCAACTTAAAAAAAACTAATTTCGTTGTAAATTTGGAAGGTATATCTCGTCCTCAAGATTAGAAACCCAACAACATGAAATGAAGAGTCTAAATGTAGAATGTCATTCGAGCAGGAACATGAATTGCTTGGGTGCGAATGAATTTTGTCCAAGTGTTGAAGAACAGCTTGCCAGTGACAACAAACTGCCTTCAATTGCTGACAGTTTCTACAAGGAACCGAGCTGCGAGTTTCCGGCAGTCAAAAGAAGTGAGGTAGATTCCAGGTTGTACTTGATTCATTATTTCAAAAGTCAAACTAAAGCATCATCATTTGTAGCAATGACAAAGAATACGTTGATGCAAGTTGGAAGTGGAGAAAAAGAAACAGAAGTTTATCGAAGGTGGAGCTGAAGCTGATGCAATTAGTGTTTGTGACTTGTACAAAGTGGTTTAGTCTCACGTATGCTGAGCATGGCCAAAGTCCCATGCTTGTATATCAAGCACTGTCCCTTAACTTCCATTTCTTTTGTTTCGTTTTGTAGAGTCATCAACACTTGCGATTCACCCGGGAACAGTTGCTTCAGCTCAGAGAGGTAAGAAAGGACCGCTTCCAGGTGCATAGTCTATCTTCACTGGTCTGAAACAGAAGTGTTCAGGGACGTCTCAAACTTTTTCGGAAGCCCTGTTCAATTTATATAAAATAATTTAAAAATAATATTATTAAATTTATTTAATAATATAAAAAATTATAAATTTATATAATGTATCAATTAATAATTATTTTTTATTTTAAAATTTATTAATTTCTATAAAAATATTTAATGATAATAAATAAATTTTGTAATATTTTTTATATATTAATGATAATAATAATAATTTTTTTAAAGAAATCTATATATAAATTTAAAGGTTTTATTATAAATATAACTATTTTTTATTCTAAAAATAAAATTGAATTTCTATTGATAATTTGAAAGGTAATTAATTTTTGAAATTTAATATTTATTTCTTTTTGTATACTAATTATATTTAAAATATTTAATTCTATAATTATTAATATTTAATGATAATAATAATTAGAAAGATTTTTTTAAAATGTGGGGCCCCAAAAATTAAGGGCCCTGTTCCTTTGCACCTATTGAACCTGCTAATAGACGGCTCTGACTTAGTATCGCCATTCCCCGTGCATTTTTGTTGCTGTAACATGTATTTAAAAATAAAATTAAATTTATATTGATAATTTGAAATGTAATTAATTTTTGAAATTTAATATTTCTTTTCTTTCTGTATACTAATTATATTTAAAATATTTAATTCTATAATTATTAATATTTAATGATAATAATAATTAGAATGATTTTTTTAAAAAGTAGAGCCCCAAAAATTAAGAGGCTCTGTTCCTCTGCACCTATTGAACCTGCTAATAGACGGTCCTGTGTCCAACACCCGGAGAAGCGAGGTGAATCCCGACATAGACACACTCGTGTTACATAAAACCGATCCTTCATTTTCTGCGAGTGATGGCGCCGAATCATGTTTCATCATGGTCTGTAAGGATGAAAGCTTCATGAAAGGGGGTGTTACATAAAATCGATCACGTTGCGTGAACATATATATATATATATATATAGTAGTTAACTTTTTGGCCCTTGCCATTTTAGATTTTGATGAAAACCACCCCATAAATTTTGATTATACTAAATCTAATAGTTGCATGGAATCCCCTTCCTTGCACACGACTCTACACCTAATAGCCTAATTGTTACATTTTATACGTATACATACATGTGTGTGCATATATATATCCATATATATTTCAATAATAGATGTATACGACAGCTGTTAAATAAATAAAAAAACTCTGATTTTACAGCTTTTTTCCATTTACTTTGACCTGTAAGAAAAATCGTAAAGTTTCTTTTTGTGTACTTTATTTTCTTTTCCTTTTATTGTTTTTGTAAAATCTTATCCAATTCTTTCTGGGATTAAATACGTGGGGGAGATGAACAACTTTCAAATTTCCAGCTTCTTTCTACATCGGTTTCGTAGATGGGCTAAGCTATAATAAAAATAAATTTAATATATGTAAATTTATTAATAGGCCTTGAATCTCTAGCGATAGAAAAAAATAAAATAAACTATTTTTTAAAATTAAAACTGAAATATATGGAACGAATTTTTTTCCAAAAACAAAATTAATTTAATACTCGTTAATGTGCTGTTTGTATTTAAATTTGTGGTTTATTATTGTTATTATTATTATTAGTGCTGATAGTACTTACACCCGCTTTGGAAAAGAAAAAGAGGCGCGGTCTCTTCGATAAATACATAAAATAATACATCTTTTGATGTGGAAATTGATCAAAGTCTTCAACGCTTCGTTGTCTTTCTTGGTTCGGTGAAGGAGCTCACTGTTTGCGGCGGGGAAGATGAGCTCTACGGGGACGGAGTCGCTGCAGTACGGAAAGGCGAAAACCTCGGTCTGGTGGGACATTGAGAACTGCCAGGTTCCGAATGGCTGGGATGCACACGGAATCGCCCAGAGCATAAGCTCAGCTCTGGTGAAGATGAACTACTCTGGTCCTGTCTCGATCTCCGCCTATGGCGACACCAATCGCATCCCTTCCTCTGTCCAACAAGCCCTCTCTTCCACAGGTGTCGCACTCAATCACGTCCCCTCCGGTGATTCTTCTCTTAGCCCTCACTCTTTGTTCGATTTCTTCGCTTCTCTAGTGAAAATTGATGTGCTACTTAGGGTTTCTTTTGGTTGCTGTCTTGATTCTGAATTGGAAGCTTTTAGATCGTTCTGTTATGAAGGGCATTGACTTTGGTATCGCCATGTTTGATGCTAATGCACGAACTGTGGTGTTGCTTTCCTCAGTGGGATCTGAATCTCTCTAGGTTAGGTCACGTTCTCTTGGTCTGTTGTGTGGAATCTTAGGTGGGTTATTTTGCTTTGTGGAATGGTGATAGGAGTGAAAGATGCGAGTGACAAGAAGATTCTGGTGGATATGTTGTTTTGGGCAGTGGACAATCCTGCACCTGCTAATTTTATGCTCATCTCCGGTGACCGGGACTTCTCCAATGCCCTTCACCAGTTGCGCATGAGGAGATACAACATTCTCTTGGCACAACCTCAGAAGGCGTCAGCACCATTGGTCGCTGCTGCAACGAGCGTGTGGCTCTGGACAAGCCTTATTGCGGGAGGATGTCCTCTCACATGCAATGATTCTGCACAAGTTGTTGTTGATGGATGCCATCCTTCTGAACTTGTAACATCAAATCTTTCTCCTTCTGATCCAGCTTTCCCCAGCCAGGCTATTGGTTCACATTCTGAAGGTGGAAGGATTGGTGATAGTGGAAATTGCGGGGATTATATTCCTAAATCAGCAAATCAGCCATTGCAACCGGACACTAAAAGGAACAAGCTTCCACGTAAGGGTGGCACGAGTGACTTTGTCAGGGCCTGCACATTATGTAAAGCTGTTTGCTACAGTTTGGAATCTTTTACCGTCCACCTATCTGGTAAAAGGCACGCAGCTGCTCAGGTAAATTAAATATTGATTCTAGTATTCTGAACCAAAAGAAATGTCATTTGGTTACTATCTTTCGTGTGTGCTATTCTGTTTTCCATGATCCATCTTAGTGCCGTAATTGGCTATATGGTCCATATTGGGATATCAAATTCAACCTCAAGTTGTTTGCTAATTTTGGATATCTTTTGATTATAATGATCGTATTTTGAATCTCTTCTCTGAGAGAGAATGCGACCACGGTCATATATACTAATTTTCTGATACATGTATCTCTCATTGTCTATGCCAGTTTGTTATTGTTGTTGTGGTATTTCCGCTAGGTGGAAATAAAAATTAAACCGTCATCATTCTTTGCGTAGGCTGCTTCAGTACCCCATGGAGGAGCTCATACCGGAGTTGGTGGCTTCAGTTCCCCACGGGGGAGCCCAGGGCCTTCCAATTCCTCAGCTAATTCCTCTGCCGGAGCTCAGGCCGGTGTTTTGAACAAACCTTTAAAGGAACCGAGTATTGTGAATCCTGTGTGGTGCAACATCTGCCAGATAAGCTGCACAAGCAAGATTGGCTATGGAAATCACATATACGGGAAAAAGCACCAAATGAACTTGGAAATGAAGCTGGGCAAGGCGAAAAAAATGTCTACAGGACCAACCGAGCGTCCTGAAAAGGACATGACTGAGAAGAAGAAGGTGACTGAAGGTGGACCTGATACCGGTGCAGTTAGGGTTTGTGGTTTGTGCAGAGTTGTGTGCCCTTGCCAAGCTGCCTTTGAGTCTCATCTTAAGGGTCGTAAGCATGTTGCAATGGAGAAGAAGCAAGCAGAAGTAAGTTGATAACTTTTGTGTTTCCGGAAAGGTCAAAGTTCGTTTTTTAACCTATAAAATGTTAAATTTTCTTCATGAAACTGGAGGGTATATCTCATCCTCAAGGTTAGATCCCCAACAACATGAAAAGAAAAACCTGAATATAGAATGTCATTGGAGCAGGAACTCATTGGTGCTAAGAAATATGAAGAAGGAAGCAATCAAGAAAGACATAAACCAAGAGAAGCAATCAAGGAAATCCAGTTTCATTCTGGAGAGGTGAAAGAGAATATGAATTGCTTGGAGAGGCAAAACGCCGAGTTGAGTGAGCGATGTTCCGCCTCTGAAATTAGTGCAAAGGAATTTTGTCTCAGTGATGAAAAACAGCTAGCAAGTGAGAACGAGCTGCCTCCAAGTGCTGAGCATTTTCACACTGAACCGAGCTGCGAGTTTCCCACAGTAAAAGGAGTGAGGTAATTTCCATGTTGGTCTTGTTTGTTATGTCAAAATCATACTAAACCATCCTCATTTGTAGCAATGACAGAGAATATGTTGATACAACTGTGGAGCCCAGACATGCATCTGCTGCGCTAGCTGAGTGTGTGGATGAGGAAGTGGAGAGAAAGAAAAAGAAGTTTATTGAAGGTGGAGCTGAAGCTGATGCACTTAGGGTTTGTGGCTTGTGCAAGGTGGTTTGCGATAACCAAATTGTGTTTGATTCCCATCTTAAAGGTCAGAGGCATGCTGCAAATGTGGAGAAGCAACAAGGAGAGGCAAGTTCATAACTTTTGTGTTTTTGGGAAAAAAAGTTCAGTTCTGTTTTTTGTCTTCAGAAAATGTTGATTTTTGGTAAAAATTGATCAGAAGTGTTTTCAACTTGGAAAAACTATTTTCATTGTGAAACTGGAGGGTGTATACCATCCCCTACAACATGAAACTAATAGCCTGAATATAGAGTGCCATTTGGACCCATAAAAAATTAGAATAGGGGTCAAACTTAATTTTCCTATAGGATATGTAACATTACCATGTGGGACTTTAACCAATTTATTTAAAATTTTGTAATTTTTTTTTCACTTAAACAAATGGGGTCACATGCCCCCCTCATTCCGCTCATGCCAGGAACTCTTTGGTGCTAAGAAATTTCAAGAAGGAAGCTTTGGAGAAAAACATGAGCCAAGAGAATCCATCAAGGAGATGCAAGAGATTCCATCAAGTGTTGAAGAACGGCTTGCCCGTGACAACAAACTGCCTCCAATTGCTGAGAGTTTCTACGACGAACCGAGCTGCGAGTTTCCAGCAGTCAACGAAGTGAGGTAAATTCTAGGTTGTGCTTCATTCATTATTTTAAGGGACAGACCAAAAAAAAGCCCCTTCAAGTGTCCTCCTTGTTCTAAACAAAGCTTATATTTAAAATTCGTTATAAAAAATTATTAATTTTGAACAAAAAATATTATATAAACAATCTTTAATTTTAAATTTGTTATAAAAACCATCAAATATTAATTTGAATTGACAAACATCATCATCTATATAAATTATTCAAAAAATATTCTATTTTAAATTTATTATAAAAATTGATAAAATTTATTTTATTGGCTGTAAAATAAGAGATAACATATATTTTCTAAATTGAAATAAAAATATGGTATTTTGTACATATAATATTGAATAAATTTACAATATTACATAATTTTGTATATATAATATTGTATAAATTAATATATGGCAAAATTTTAAGTATGATATTTACATCTAATAAAATATACTCAGTTTAAAATATAAAGATCGATGTTTATAAATATTTATATAAATTTTTAATATTACAATACCATAAGTTTAAGTAAATATTATGTTTCCATTGTGATATTTGGAATTGTATAATTTATATATGTTTTTCTATTCAAATTTTATCGATTTTTATAATAAATTTAAAATAGAATATTTTTTTAATAATTTATATAGATGATTATTATTTTTTTCAATTAAAATTAATATTTGATGGTTTTTTATAACAAATTTAAAATGAATTTTAATTAGAAGATATTTTTTTATATAAGTAGATAGTTGAAGGATTTTTTTTTTTTTTTGTCCCTTATTCCGAAGTCAAACCAAAGCATCATCCTTTGTAGCAATGACAAAGAATACGCTGATGCAACTGTTGAGCCCAGAGATGAGTATCTCAAGTTGGAAGTGGAAAGAAAAGAACAGAAGTCTATTGAAGGTGGAGCTGAAGCTGATGCAATCAGGGCTTCTGACTTGTACAAGGTGGTTTAGTCTCACTTATGCTGAATATGGCCAAAGTCCCATACTGTTCTTTAACTTCAATTTCTTTTGTTTTGTTTTGTAGGGAGAAGACTTGCAATTTGAGGGTCGTCAACACTTGGGATTCACCCGAGAACAGTTACTTCAGCTCAGAGAGGTAATAAGTTTTTGCCTTGCATAGAACTGTCTATTGGTGTCTTGCTTTTTCTTTGTTGTCATTTCGGGAAACATTATATACTCTCCTTTCATTTAAGCGAGTCCTACTAATGTATGTGTCATGGCTCTTGAACAAAGTCATTCGCCGTTTTTCCCTCACAGGTGATCCAAGTCTCAGATGAAATTCTTAGACTGAAACTGGAAATTGACAATGAGCTTTTAGGCTTAGAGCAGAGCCGGGGTCGAGTGGAAACAAAGGTGAGTGTCCATTCTTTTTTTTTTCCTTTCCCTTCTCGCATTTTGTTTTCTGCTAAACGAAGTATTTTTCTTGTATGGTTGATTGAGGAGATCCAGTGTCAGTCTCTAGAGGAACAAAAGAATATCAATTGCTCGAAGAAGCAAAGCAAGGAACCGATTGAAGATCGGGAAGAGAGCGAGGACAGACCGCTTCCTGGTGCAGAGTCTATCTTCGCTGATAAAAAACAGAAGTATCCAGCAACCCGAGAAGTGAGGTAGATCCCAACATAGACACACTAGTGTTATATAAAACCGATCCTTCATTTTTTTGCTAGTGATGCCAAATCATGTTTCCATCAGTGATTGTAAGGATGAAAGCTTCAAGAAAAGGGATGTGAATATGGTGGAGAAGTTGGAGGAGGAACTAGGAAGTAAAAACAAGCAAGTGCCAGACAGTGCATGCAGGATCTGTTGAATATCCCAAGAAAGATGTCTGAGAAGATGGCGAAGAAGAACTCCAGAAGTGTAAGCTATTAAAAACTATTCATTCTTATATATGCATATATGTGTATATATGTGTGTATGGACGCATGTATCTTTCGTGTGTGTATGTAGTAGCAGACCCAGAACCATATATAACGGGAGGCAATTAATAATTTTAATATAAGTTAAGGGAGGACAATTAAGGATTTTATGTAAAATTTTAGAAATATTAAAACGAAATTAAAAAAGAATGATAAAGTAGAACGGGTCACACTGACCCCATACCTTTGTGTATTGGTCAGCCCATGTATGTATGTATGCATGCTTACACTGCGCATTTGAAGTATTCCATGAAACGTGTTGAGAATTTGGTTAAGAATATTGAAAGTATAATAGGGCATTTTACTCAAATGATCCGGTTGGGTCGGAACAATTTCATAAAAAAAAACATAACACATTAAATTATTTTGTAAAAGACCATATTACCCTTAAATGATTCTAAACGTATAATTTGTTAATGATTTCAAATGTATAATTTGTTAATGAGGTGATAAAAAAATTCACCTGTCAAATTTAAAAAAAAAACTATGTTTTTCTAACAGTTTTATTCATCATACGATTATAAATAATTTTTATTCTAGTCGTATGCTAGTTATATGCTAATCGCAATAAAGATCGCAAAGTCGTGAGATAAGGATTTTTTGAATTTTTTGTCCGAAAAGTGGAGTATAAATTGAAAAAAAAAATTCACTTTTGTTTTTTGGGTTGTATCCGTGAAATTGTTGTGATCCAACTGGATTATTTGAATAAAATGCACAGGATGATAATACTGATTTGTATTAAGGATATAACTAAGGAAGAGGAACAACGCCTAGGGTTCAGAGAGAACATCATCCTCTGTTAACCTCCCCAATCATAATAAGCTTTAAGATTCATATGCTCATCCAAAACAAAGAACATCATTATTTACATATCTAGCAACAGAATGCTGATGTGACACCTGTGACAAACCCACCAATACGTACGTGAACATCTATAAGGCATTCCCTCTCTGTCATTCTTCTCTTTCAGTTATGATCATCTGTTGCTTCCCCTCTTTATTCCTTTTTTTCTGCTGCATTAGTGTCCATCAAGCTCCCTGAGGTAGGGTGGGTGTTTCGAAAAATAGTTCGGGTTCGGTATGAAAATACATCGGTTCGGTTTTTTCGGTTTTACAAAAATAGGTCGGTTTTTATATTATGTTCGGTTCGGTTTCGGAAAATTCGATTCTCTAAAAATAATACCTTTCGAAAATTTAGAACAGTTCAGATAAAAAAAGGTATCGTTTTTTCGGTTCGGTTCGATTCCAAATATACGAACCGAAACGCCCAACCCTAGCCTGACGTGCTCCTCCTTCTTCACCCATCTATTTTAGATATTAGCAAAAACTGTCCCAAAGTCTGGAATTCTAATTGCGCGAAACTCACTATAATAATAATAATAATAATATAAGACAACAGATGAATGTAATTCATGCCTAATTAATAAATAAAATGAAGCATTCTCAATAGTTTTTCTAAATAATGTTAATTCCAATAATTTTGGTTGCACCCGACCCGACCCGACCCGGTTATTGTTTAAAATAAACCTAGCGACAATGTCTAGCTGTTTCATCGTTTTCGATCACAACCGAAAGAGAGGAATTAGGATCAAAACCTCCATAGAAAGCTTTGGTCCTTGCTTCCATCAAATTCATCGTCGAAAGTTTCTGGGTAGTGATTGATTGCTCCCCGAAGTCTGACCCTTTTTTTTTTGTGCTCATGTTCGTGTGAATACTCACCCGTGTATACGCTAATGTGTGTGTGTGTGTGTATGTATGTATATGCGTCTGTAGGTTGAGTTCGTCCAGTTTCTCCTCTGCTTCCATTTTTTCAGTTCAATTCCATCGAAGAATTTCGAGTTTTGATTTGAGCTTTATGCCCTTTGTTACCATTTCAATAAGCCCTCGTCAAAATTCTTTTTATTGCAATTTCATCCTTTGTTGATGAACTGGGTCCAGGTTGATACGGGTCTGAGTAATTTTATATACATCACATCTTTGTGATTTTCGTCTGATTGAGCAAATGTTTTTCCCCCGAAATTCAAAATCGAACCGATGTCTGCGTTCTTGTGTCCGTTTGTTTGGTTTTATTGTGTGATCTCCAAGATATTTTCATGAGTATTTATGAAGTTGAAATCTTTATGGTTATCTAGTTTCTGTAATCTTCATATGTTCCAGTTGCTGATGAATCACTACCTTGGCAGTTCTTCGACATAGCTTTATCGTAAAAATGTCGAGTAGTAGTAGCTCGGGCAGGACCTCCAGAAGTGATAGTGATAGTGCATTCGATGTTGATGAACTTGTACAGATCGGGACAAGATGCAGAGAGGTGAAATTTTCATTCCCCGTGTGTTTGAATTTTCGTAAACCGAAAGTTTTCAACAGTGATTTTCATTTTAAAGCTGTTCATACTTTGAGGCTAATGGTTTCAGGATTTGGCTTTGCATTCTATTGTCTTTATTTGTAATTTCAGCTGAGAAGAGAGAAGGAGATGCTAAGAGAATCACAGTCCGAGAGTGTGGAGCTCGTCAGAGTAGTATTCTTCCTGTTTTTAGTTAATCTTTGCAATTATGTTGTGATTCTCTATGTTGAATTTTCTGGCACTAATCCTGTTTTCACCACAGAGGCTGGAACTACATGCGAAGTCATTGTCAGAATCTCGTTTAGAAGATAAGGGAAGAATTCAGACATTGGAGAAAGAGTTGGTGAACTGTTATCAGGAAATTGGTAATTGGCTCTTCAAATTTATTGCTGGAGATTTTCCTGAACCAATGTCTTGCGAGCTTACGTCTTCTTAGGCTTTGCTTTGCAGATTATTTGCAAGATCAGTTGAGTTTGAGAAATAAGGAAGTAGATTATCTTTCAGAACATGTCCACAGTCTTGAAGTCAAGTTAGCAGAATCTGGGCATTTAGAAGAAGAAGTTAACAGTTTGAGGGAGGAGTTGTTTAAGTCAGAATCCGAGCATTTTTTGTTGTTGCAAGAACTTGGGAGCAAAGAAACAGAACTACAATACTCAGCATATTCAGTAGAGAAACTCGAGGAATCCATCTCATCATTAACATTAGAGTCACAATGTGAAATCGAAAGCATGAAGCTTGATATGATAGCTTTGGAGCATGCACTCTCTGATGCCAAGAAAATTCAAGAAGAAAGCGTTCACGAAAAAGATCAACTAAGGGAAATAATTGAGGAGCTTCGGCTTCAATCTCAAGAGGCACAAGAGAATATTGGGTGCTTAGAGAAGCTAAACAAGACGCTGAGAGAGAGATGTGATGCTACTCAAAGGAATGTCGCAGAATTTTGCCGAAGTGTTAAAAAATGGGTTGGAAGTGAGGAAAAACTGCCTATAAAAGCAGAGTTTTTCTTCGCTGAATTTGGCCACGAGCTTCCGCTAGCCAAAGAATTGAGGTAAATCCAGCTTCGACTTGTTTAACATATTAAATCTAGCTGTTTTCATCTTCTGATAGCTCCTAATTATGTGTCACAGAGAATGTTTTGATGCGATCATCGAGAAGCTACAAGTTTCACGGGATGTGAATTTGTCCGAGAAGGTGGAGTGTATGTCAAAGCAGATAAACCAATATGAAAATCTCATTAAGCACCTCAAGGTATCTGCAGAAATTTTGAGGAATTATATGAACCTTTTTTCGGTTTATCGAAGAACTACTTCTGTCCGAGATGAATTTTGAGATTTTTACTACCTACTGGTCTTTCACCCAGGATGAACTGAGAGATGAGAAACTGAAGGCCAAGGAAGAAGCAGAGGATCTTGCGCAAGAAATGGCTGAATTAAGGTATAAAATGACATGCTTGCTCGAGGAAGAATGCAGGCGACGTGCATCCATTGAACAAGCTTCATTACAGAGAATAGGCGAGCTAGAGGCACAGGTACTTTCACTTTCTTTTTTCCTGCAATACCAAGAGGAGGACTCTCTTTCTAAATCTCAACTGACCCTAACCATCATCTCTACGTAATTGTTTTCCCCATTGTCAAGATCAAGAAAGAGAAGAACACATCCATGGCAAGCATGATCTCTCTCCCTGGCGTGTAATTTTCACCCCCTCTGCCCTATCTCCAACCAATGGGAAATACATAGTCTTCACTCTATGTCATGTATCATCCACATTGTCAGTAGCTTGGCTGAAAACACTGGATGGTTAGATATAACAGAGCAACTGCAACCAAACACCAAAAAGGTCTGTGGGTTTGGATGTTGAATTCACTTGAAACTCAAATGTTTCATTAGAGCAAGTCAGCCAGTTAAAGGGTAGATACAAGATTTTGTCATGATTCATGTGGAAGAGATGTTTCCATTGTGAGTTGTAGAAAGGCATAGATCCATATAAAGAACCAAAAGGTTTGACCTTTTGTGAAGATATGCTATCATTCCTTGTGTACATCGTCTTCTAATTAATTTATCCATTGTTCTTTTTGTCTTTCTTTTGAACCCTTCAAATAGTGTGCACATAAAACCTTAACGGGCTTTCTTTAAAACAATAAATAAATAAGGACCTCATGGCCAAATTAACAAAGAAAAAAAAAACAAGACAAAAAAGTCTTTCCAAGAGGGGATGTCTTCATGAACGGATCAAGGAAAATTAGTGGATTACGTGTGTAGATGTGTTGTCTTAACCTAATCCAATTGGGTAACGCACTTGGATTTATTGATAAATTCTTCATCTAAAAGTCAGAATCTTTTTTAATTTTGGATATTTTTTTTACCATATTACTGTTTTTCTTCTTCAAAATTTTTTATATAGAAATTTATTTTCTTATATTGCATATATTTATTTTCACTAAATGTTTAAGGTTTTCTTTTTGTATTTTTGTGATTTGTAAGTTTTATAAAAAATTTAATGCCAATCTATCAAATATTAAAAGTACACAGAGAATAACAGTTTCCAAAACTTTTAAATCTTCATTGTTTTTGAACTTATATAAGAAAAAGTTTCAAAAATAATCAAGAAAATAATAACAACATATCTTTACAAAAAAAAAATGATAACAAAATATCATGACCATTCATTGGGCTTTTAGTATATTCTATTGACATGTTCAACGAAGAACTTTCTAATGGGGCAGGGCAGACGCTCAATCCAAAAAGTCAAAAGAGAATGGCTCATGAAATTAAAAAATCATAATATGTAAATAAAATTTAAAAAAATGACAAAATAAAGAAAAATTAAAAAAAAAAATCCAACCCGTTGATATTTGAATTAAGTTCCTGTAGATCTTTTCTCACCAGTTTCTTCTTCTTCATGCCCAAAGACTTGAACTTTGTTGCCGAGTCTTCGCCGCGTTATATTCTTCTCCTTTGATCCTTCGTCTTGTCTTCTGAATTTCCTTAAAAGCCCAATCTTTGTTTCTGGGTTTTCAGTTCGTCCTTTCCAGGTATGCGATCCGATCCGATCCGATCCACTTTCTTTCCTAGGGTTTGTTTTTCTGTTCGTTTTGTTCTCGTTGAGTAAGTTTCTTGACGATTCCCGTATTTGATTTGTCTGAAGAATTTTTGTTTTTTTCTCTCTTCATTTGATGATGCTCTCTCTCGCTCGGTCGGTTCTTTTCTCTCTCCCGTTATCTGGACTTCGTTTTGTTGTTTGGATGCAGAGAAAACGCGAGAAAGTAGCTACCCTTTCTGAGAATTTTTTGGGGGTTTTCGTTGTTGGGATCTTCACAGGGATTATGCCTCTTTTCACCCTTTTCCATGTTTCTTTCGTGCTAAACAATTTAAAATTTTCTGTTTGGCTGCCGAGAAAATGCAGCGGAGTCTCCAACTTCTCTCCTGCTATCACGATTTCTTTCTCAGAAAATCAGAAAAAAAAAAATCCCTACATAATAGCGTCGATCGTCAGGAGATATAACACTCACTACCCCTTCTTCTTTCACCAGTTCGTGTATCCAAAATCCGAGATTCATTCGATTTTGTTCCCCGATCCATTTTCTCCAATTAGGCTTGAAATCTGTGCTTTTGTAGGATCCTACGATACGATTTTCGATTGGAAAAATTCAATTTTATTTCATTTTTTTGCGATAATCAATTGTATTTGCACCGAGTTCTCGAATCGTTTAGACCAATCTTAAAGTCGAATCTTAGGATCTTAGGCTTCAAATCTCTGCCTCCCTTTGCTTAACCTCTCTGTTATCTCTCCAGTATTTGATGAACTTTAAAGTTCTGTCTGTATCTTAAATCTTAAAATCTCAGGCATCTTGATGAATTTTGTGTGTTTCTGCAGGAAAAGATTTCTTCAATAGCAGTTCCTGGAACAGAATCATTTGTCTGAAGCAACTGAGTTCTGTAGTAATATTCTGAAATCATGTTTGGATTGAAGAAATCTCCTGCAAGGATTCCTAAGCACAAGTCAGTTGATCCTGGATTCGCCCCGTCTTCCAAAGCAAACCCTTTCGATTCGGATGATGAGTTCGACAATAGACAAACCCTAAAACCCTCGAAGAGGACTTCCTCTGACCCCTCTCTAGCCGCAACGAGTTTCGGCACAAACCCTTTTGACGACGAGCAGGTTGAGACAGAACACGCTCCGTCGAAGAATCCGTTAACTCGGGATGCCAAGAACATGTACAAGACCGATTTCTGTGATTCGGGAGGCGTGGAAAACCAGTCGGTTCAGGAGCTCAAGAACTATGCTGTGTACAAGGCCGAGGAGACGACGAAAACTGTAAATGGGTGTCTGAGGATAGCTGAAGACATAAGGTCAGATGCTACAAGAACTTTGGTCATGTTACACGAGCAGGGTGAACAGATCACAAGGACACACCACAAGGCTGTTGAGATTGATCATGATCTGAGTCGGGTAAACCCATTGTTCACTTGCTGTTCCGAAATTGATGGCATTAACCTGAAAGATAGGAGAATGAGGATTTCAATAAGATCCGACTTCTCAGATATTAAGCATGTGATTAATATATGAATCCTATCTTTTTTCACAACTATGAACTCAACTTGTTAACCCATGTTTTCAGGGCGAAAAGCTTCTTGGAAGCCTCGGAGGCATGTTTTCAAGGACTTGGAAGCCAAAGAAGACTCGCCCCATAACCGGCCCCATTGTAACTAGAGGTTTGATCCTTAACGGAAAAAACTCCTAAAACCCATCTCATATGTGTTATTTTACGGATGCACATTCCAATGTTATGAATAGATGATTCGCCAAAGAGAAGAGCTAACCACATAGAGCAGAGGGAAAAGCTTGGATTGAACGCTCCGCCCAAGGCGCAATCAAGAACCCGTTCTCCTCTTCCCGAACCAACCGATGCCTACCAGAAAGTAGAGGTATTGATTTCTCTCCTCTACTTCTTTTCCCTTCAAGAAGAATACTCCTTACTCTGTCAGCATTGTAAATTGATAGAACTTAGGGTTCTATGGATCCTGAAAGTTGGCTTCTTCGATTGAACGATTTCTCGGGCTTGTATATAAACATTGACAGGTGGAGAAAGCAAAGCAAGATGATGCGCTTTCTGACCTGAGTGATCTGCTTGGTGATCTGAAGAACATGGCTGTTGATATGGGATCTGAAATCGAAAGGTTTATCTCGTTAAAATGTTCTCTTCGATTCCTCCATATCCATTCACAAGGTTTCCACATTTCATTTTGCTGAAGAGAGAAAAAAAAACTTGTTTTCTTTTTTTGAACAGGCAAAACAAGGGACTGGATAATCTTCAAGACGACGTGGATGAGCTGAATTTCCGAGTGAAGCAATCAAACCAACGAGGCCGACGCTTGCTCGGGAAGTAGAATGGTCATCGAGTTCTTGCCGAGCTCTTGCTCTTCACTTCGTTTGTTCTGTCTGTGACTGTCTCTCGCTCTTTGGGTTCTCTCTGTTGTTCAGATTCTCTGTGCTTTTCCTTTTATCTGTCTGAAAATGTTGTGAACGTAATCTCAGGAGCCTCACAGACACCTGCGTTTGGCTCTTGTCTAATAGCATGAGAAGGATTCTTCATGAACATTCGCCAATCCATGCAACAACATACCCTGGTTAACGTATTGGGCCTTAATAATCCCAAAATCTTCATGAATATCTTCACAATTGTAGACATCATTGGAGATTATTTTGCATTGCAAATATATCCAAAAAGGTAATTTTAGAAGTGGAAGTGGAAGGAAATAAGCGAACAGTTTACAGATTAAACTAAACGTGAGATATATAGGAAAAGCTATCTCCATTTCCTTAGGCCCGGGACATAGAGATGGTTAAGGGTCAATGATTCGACCCACTCACACACCAATTTTTAACATACCAAATAAATCATGGGCGAGTGGTCAAATTTGGGTAGGAGGTAACTCCATTTGAGGATTTATATGATTCATATACAAACACTGCTCTCGATCTGGAGATTTAACTAGTCACCGCGTCCGAAGGGGATATAACAAAAATGCCCTTAAAATGCTATCCTTACTTCATGGAGTACCCTTCAAAAAATAAATCCAAAAACAATAAAATCTGAAATGGGGTGAAGACATATATATCCCTGAATTTTAAACGAAAGACCAAAAGGACCATTACTTTTTGATTAAAAAATATCCAACTTATTCAAATTAAAAAAACGCTCTCTCTCTTCCTCGGTAAACTCCCTCTCCGTGCAGTCCCCTCTCTCTCTCCGTGCAGTTCTCTCTCTCTTGCAGCATTTCGAAAACTCTCTCTCTCTCTTGCGCGATTTCTGTTTCGAGATTTTCAGAAAATTGAACCCATTTTTCTTGCAATTTCGATATCTCTCTACTGATTTGTGTGAAAAATCAAACACCCATGGATCCAAAAACACATGTGCCTTCTGCTTCGTCTTCATCTGCGTCTCAGGCCGGTTCATCACCTTCATCGTCGGAGAAAGATCTCCCATTAGAAACGGTAGGTTTGTCTACATCTTCTTCTCCGTTTTTTTCTTCTATGACCTGATCCTGGAGTAAAATCATTAAACTTGTTGGATGATTTGGGATTTCAAAATAGGAATTTAGGGTTTAGGGATTTCGAAATTGAAATTAAAGTTTTGGGATTTCTGAAAATAAAGTTAGGGTTTTGTGTTTTGAAATATATAATTTGGGTTTTAGGAATTCGAAATAGAAAGTTAGAGTGTGGATATGAGATTTCGGAATACCTTGGCAAATTTAATGATTTCCTAAGTCGCAAGGTCATGTGGGTCACAGGTCACATGGGTCACAGAGATTTATATGGTAATAGTATAATATAACTCACAACACCGCACACGAGTCACACGGGTCACGGGTCACGGGTCACACGGGTCACGAGTCACATGGGTCACAGGTCACATAGGTCACATGAGCCACGAATCCCAGGTCCCAGGTCACACGGGTCACGAGTCACATGGGTCACAGGTCACATAGGTCACATGAGCCACGAATCCCAGGTCCCAGGTCACAAAGATCACAATGACGAACAATTATTTTATTTTGCAGCTTCCATTTGTCTTTAGGAAATCATTAAATTTGCCAAGGTATTCCGAAATCTCATATCCACACTCTAACTTTCTATTTCGAATTCCTAAAACCCAAATTATATATTTCAAAACACAAAACCCTAACTTTATTTTCAGAAATCCCAAAACTTTAATTTCAATTTCGAAATCCCTAAACCCTAAATTCCTATTTTGAAATCCCAAATCATCCAACAAGTTTCTCATTAACCGCTCTGTTAAAGGGGAAGACGAGAAGGAATTGTGGTTCGTGCTCAATGGTGTGCCCGTGAGGTACTCAATCATTGAGCATGCACTTATATGTGGTTTGAAGTGTGAAAAATATCCAGAAGAATGGGAGAGCTTCAAAAAGAGTGAGTTCAGGAAAAAGACTTTCGGACGTAAGAAGGTTTGTTTGAATGATGTGGTGGAGAAATTGAGATATATGTCACCCCAGAGGGCAGCAGATCGTAAGAGATTGGCTATTGTATGCTTGATGGCCGGAATCTTGGATCATGCCCTGTCATCCGAACAAATCAGCCATGATTTGTTCGACATGGTTGATGATTTACGTTTCTGTGAACGATTTCCGTGGGGTCGATACACTTTTGATCGAATAATTGATCAAGTGCGAAAGAGTCTCGGTGCGAAACCAAAGACAAAATGGCATTGCCCGGGGTTTATAATCCCTCTGATGGTAAGTTATTTATTAAATTACGAGGAAATTATTTGAAAGTTTAGAGTTACCTTCTGCTTGAGGGACTTCCTTTGGGGTTTCAGATGGGACTGCTTGAGGGACTTCCTTTGGGGTTTCAGATGGGACTGCTTGAGGGACTTCCTTTGGGGTTTCAGATGGGACTGCTTGAGGGACTTCCTTTGGGGTTTCAGAAGGGGCTATAACATCCTCGCCTTCTATTGGGGTTTCTGAAGGTTTTGGGAGATTCAAATCAACAATCCCAGCCTCTAAACCCTCCTCACAAGTTTGAGGGAGATCCACATCAACATTCTCACCCTTAGAACCCTCGTCACAAGCTTGAGGCAGATCCACATCAGCATTCCCACCCTTAGAACCCTCGTCACAAGCTTGAGGGATATCCACATCAGCATTGTCAGCCTTAGAACCCTGCTCAGAAGCTTGAGGGAGATCCACATCATCATTCGCAGCCTTGTCACCTTCCTCAACAGCTTCACGGAGATCCACATCAACATTCCCAGTTTGAGGGACATCCATAAAAACATCCGCTCCTCCAGCATGGTCTTTAGAAGTTGCAGTGTCCCCCCACATTTCATCATTCCTAGGTTGCACTCTATACGAATAGTTCACAGAGAAATGACCAGACTGTTTCAGAATATCTTTCACACAAGCAATTAACCTCGTCTCAGATGCTTGGATCGCTTGACCCATGTGATCAATGATCCTGGCCTCGGATGCTTTGATCTCCTGCTTAATGAACTTCTCTAATGCATCCACTCTTGTTCTCTGTGAACTATTCGTATAGAGTGCAACCTAGGAATGATGAAATGTGGGGGGACACTGCAACTTCTAAAGACCATGCTGGAGGAGCGGATGTTTTTATGGATGTCCCTCAAACTGGGAATGTTGATGTGGATCTCCGTGAAGCTGTTGAGGAAGGTGACAAGGCTGCGAATGATGATGTGGATCTCCCTCAAGCTTCTGAGCAGGGTTCTAAGGCTGACAATGCTGATGTGGATATCCCTCAAGCTTGTGACGAGGGTTCTAAGGGTG